CATAAGTTCATTCATGCTAATGCGAAAAACCGGACGGATCGATTAAATTTCATTAGGTAAGTGAAAATAATTAACGAGGCAAACCCGGCGACTTAGCGTTCGAGTTAATTATTATTCCCATTGGAAGGTTTACGATTAATCTAAAGGTTCCTAGAGGTTGATTAAGTTCCATCTACGGGGTAATAACGTATTCAATTTGTTTCGATGGCAATGTATTAAGCCGCGCAATTAAACGGTACTTCGTTAAACGATTAATTAGAAACAGAGCTGCGATAAACTAGTTGAAAATAAGCAGCGAACGAAACAAATTCCAAGTTAACACGAAAAATGTAATTTCGTCTCAGTGTTGACAGTACGAGAACAACTGAAAAATTTGATAAAATTTCAACTTTCAATGTTAAAAAAAGAAAAGTGTGACACGCAGGAATAAAAAATTAACGATTTTAATTGAGAATTCGAGCGATCGTGACGAGCGACGAACGAAAAGTGAATAAATTGATAAATGGATACGCACACGGTTCGACGCCCATGCGTCATAGAGAAAAATTATCAGCGCGAATAATTCCAATAGTTAATTTTCATGTAATATCGAAGGGAGATGAAATATGACCAGTTTTTCAATATCTCTGTGATCCAGTATAACGAAAAATAATATTACCTTTGCGATTGAAATTTATACTTTTCGCTGGTAAAAATTAATATCTAATAAAGTGGAAATAAATGAAGGGGGCAAAGTCTTAGTACAGATATAAAAATAATTTTCTACCTTCATATTTTAATCGATACCATATTAATTACTGTATCGATGAAAAATTGTTTGCCAGGAGTAAAGAGAGCCGATTTAACATAATCCGACGAGGAGATCAAACCTCATGCGCATATTACAATTTAATACTTACGCGAACGAAAATGAGTAGCTGGATCTCGAGATCGCAGCAACCGGAGCAGAGCTGATTTTTCCCCCCGTTCTTGGCTGTTATGCAACGAGCGAATACGATACGAATATTTATAAGTCGTTCCTTCCCCGGTACTCTTTTAAATGGCCGAGCGAACGAATCGAGACCGAGACGCGTTTTCCGCGGCGCGCGGCCACTGCGAGGATATTACCAACGATATTTCATTCACGGTCCGACACCGGCGGCGTTTAAAGGGTTTCTCCTCTGCCTATCGGTTAAATTAAAGGTCGGCCGCAATTGGAAAATGCAACTCGATGCTGAAACGCCCTTTAAGCGATTTATGACGACCATCGGGACCCATTCCTCTCCCGCTCCTCTTTTTACCCCTGCGTTGCCTGAATTTAACGCCCGAATAGCAAAAGGTAACCAATAAAAAGATAGCTAGAAATGCTTGCGTTACCTCTAGATCATACATTCTGATTTTCTATAATCCATTCAAAATATCTAAAGCCGATTAGTTGAATGATAAATTCATCCGGGACGCATTTAATGAACGTTTCACTATTCATCAAAATCCGCAGTGTACATTACACTTGATATGCATGATGATAATTCGCCGACACATGGTTTATTCTACCAAAAAGCCCAGCCGGGCATTAGTCACGTGCGATGACCGAGCGCATAAGGTAATTACGGACAATCTTGGGGGATGAAACATGGTCATAAGAAAGGCTAAAATCCTACGCCGTGACCGAACCTCCATTGTTCTTGCCGAGTATTGTCCCTTATCGCGGTATTCGAGACGCCGCCGTGCAAAACGATCCCTAAGAAACTGCTGAAAGCCGAGCTGGGGGACACAATGACCCGGTTACGGGTCGATCTGCGAAATTCGTGACTCATGTTATGTGCGGCTCGAAAGTTAGGCCCGGGGCTGTTCTTTGGGGGAACACAGGCCTTGTTAGGGCGTGCGAATGCCACATGACAACGTTTGCACAATGATATCTACCCCTACAAAGATACTTTACTGATGAACCATGAGTCTACCCCTGTAGATTAGGCAGGGCAGTAGGGATGGTTTTCTCAGCACCATTGCTTTGTTTTTTCAGAATCAAATATTAAACTTTATGCAAAATAAAAGATGGTACGAGTTTAAGATGTATTGGCTATACAGTCAATCCCAAAAGTTTATGTACCTTAGAAAAACGCATTTCCTATAATTAAAAAGAAATCAGACGTCGGAAGAATAATGCTAATAATAAATAACTACGTGCTAAAAAATATAGAAGGAAAT